TATCCGCCCCGGGGGGTGGGTGTGTGGGGGGGGGTGGAGCAGCTCAGCATCCTCTGCCTTGGGCCATGGTTGGAAGTGGCTGGGTGAGGGGAGCCTGCTGTCCAGACTCAGTCTAAGGCACCATCTGACAGACCCAGCCAGACTGCAGCTGCTGGCACTGGGGGCTGCCCACCTCACCTCGGCCAACCAGTGTGGGGGTCTCATGAATATGTAAATGGTGGTCAAAGCTGGTTGGCTGTCCCCTTGCCACCTACCCCGCCCCCAACTCAAATGCCTGGAAGAGGCCAGTTGAGCGAGGACCTCCCTGAAACGCCATCTCTCCTGCCCTTGCCCAGAGAGCCTTTGAGATATGTGGAAGCGGAGGTACCCAACTTCTTGCACCATTCTGGCCTCCAATGAGGAATCCTGGCCTCTGCTTCCTAATGGCCCACAAGGCAGCTCCCCTGTGACAGCCTCCTCCCACCCCTCCAGTGTCCTGAAGACAGTGGGACACCTCCCCCCCCCAAAGTATGACAGCAGGCCATCTGGACTCTCAGAAGGTCCCCGACAATGCTGGGCCAAAGGCGCCTCCTCTGGCAGCTGGGGAAGACTCACTCCCATGCCCATCACCCCCCACCCAAGGGTCACCCTCTTCGCCTATTTTTGGCTGGGGACATGGACCAAATGTTAGAAAATATAGAAATGAAAATCCATGAACCACATAGTTCATCGACAAGGGATTAATCCTCAAAACATTGCATAAAAGAAGTAAGTCACAGGATGATACAGATCCAACAATTCCACTTATTTTATGTACAAACATGAAAAAGCTGACCAGGTTTTCATTGTATATCCATCATTTATAATGACAACTGACTAGAGCGATAGATGGATGGAATCTGGGCATCATGGGTGATGGAACGTGAAGAGAGATTGAGTCTCATGGTCCCTGTTTTAAGCAGCTCAGGAATGTATTGGGCTGCTAGCCACAAGGTCAGCAGTTTGAACCCACCAACTGCTCTATCGGAGAAAGATGAGGCTTTCTGCTCCCATAAAGGTTGGCAGCCTCAGCCCACAGGGGCAGTTCTAGTCTGTCCTGTAGGGTCACTATCCGTCAAAATCAACTCACTGGCAGTGAGTCTGGCTTTTGGTTTAGAGATAGAGAGCCCCAGCCACTATTAGGTCAATGATACAATTATCTAAACAGGGGTGTGAGTGCCAAGTTCAGACCACATAGACTTACCTAATGGGAGTCAGGGTAAGGGCAAAGAATGCTGCGTGTTTCTTAGAAGGTGAGCTACCTACTCTGGTGTTTCTGTTGCTGTTCTGTTTGAGCCAAACCAATTCACCTTTTTGAAAACAAAACAAACAGGAACATTTTAGGTGATCTGAAACATTTTGTTCTCCCTTTTAAAAATCCACCAAACTGTGTATATCGTTTAGGCTACCTAGATATTGAAGCTACAGTCAGAACAAGGGGATGGTTAATCTCTAATTCAGAATTGAATACAAACTGTCAGAAGAGCTGATCTCAGCGCATGGTGACTCCCGTGCATGTCAGACTAGCCTCGTGTCCCACAGGGTTCCCAGTGGCTGGATTTGGGGAAGTCGATCTCCAGCATTTCTTCAGAGGTGCCTATTGGCCGACGTGAACCTCCAACCTTCCGGAGAGGAGTAGTCGAGCTGACGCTAACCATTTGCACCACTTAGGAGTCCATGATTTTAAACCAGGCAATGTCCCCTTATTCTATTCACGCCATCTGATCCCTGCACAAGTTCCAAGTGAGTCTAATGGACTCCAGCATCGGAAGACTTGTGTGCTGTGCTCTTGTGCACGGGTCCCTATGGGCCGGCACTCACTCGAGGGCACACCGCACAACACCAGGGAGCCCGATTCGGGAAAGCAGTGTCACCACAGAAGGCTTTTTCTTCCTCTGGAAGCTGGCGAGTTGGGATCTTTCTGTTTTATTCTTTAAAGCAGTGGTCCTCAACCTTCCTCATGCTGCAACCCTTTTAATACAGTTCCTCATGTTGTGGTGACCCCCAACCATAATAATATTTTCGTTGCTATTTCATAACTTTGTCACTTTTCATAATTTTGCTACTATTATGAATCGGGCGACCCCTGTGAGAGGGTCGTTCGACCCCCAAAGGGGTTGGGACCCACAGGTTAAGAACCACTGCTTTAAAAAGAAAGAAAAACCCCCTACATATCTAAGGATACACCCTTTTGAAAGTTTATTGACAACAAAAAAATATTTTCAATTCACTTGTGAACCCAGTCACAATGGGTATTTATAAACTCTTGGCCCCAAAGGCAACACTGCTAACTCCTGTGACATTTAAATGCAGAAGAGAATGAGGGATTATTGGGCTGCACGTTGAACTCCATGGAGGCTCATATAGGAATCTCAAGGAAATCAATTTCAACCTTTATCCTCAGAGAGGCTTTGCATGTTACTGGGCACTTAATGTGCGTGCATGTGTGTGTGGTGTCTGTGTGGCGTTTAAGACTAAAATCTAAAATACACTCGGATGACCGCTGCGGCTCCTGAAGCACTCTGCCACATTACCTAGGCTTGAGCTTCTAAATCCCAGATTAGAATTCAGAAATTAATTATTAAAAATGGAGGGGAATTAAGTAGCTAGCTAAGAAAGATTAACAGCAACCCTGGCAAGAGATGTTCATAGTTTCTGTTTCTTAGTTCATAGTTTCTTAGTTCCTTGAACTCTTAAGCTGTACCCAGCAGTGTTGTAAGCATGGAAGTATTTAGTCATTTCACAGCTATTATTGAGTACCAGGCACTGTGGCCTATGATTCAGGAAAATGGAGTCAATTCTCTACACACACACACACACACCCCATTACAATACAGTGCAATGGAGCGACAGCCACTGTGTTTGAGAAGCACAGTCTGTGAGAGGGGAGGAGTGGAAGATTCAGAAAAGTGCTTTAGGGAGGATTATGAGCCTACACAAATCTGCTCTGCTATCAAGTTGATTCCAGCTTTCCGAGGCCAGTAAGACTGGACAGCCTCATCTTTCTCCTGCAGAGAGGCTGGAAGGTTTGCAAACTGACCTTGAGGTTAGCCGAGCAACCCGTAACCCACAGAGCCAAGATGGAACCTTACAGAGCAGATGCCTCGACAGAAACATAAACCCTGGTGAACCTCAGATTAAAAGCCTATTGCACTGAGTCACAAAGAAGTGAAGGACTGAAATGGCCCGTGGAGGCTCCAAACATTGCTACTGAGTCGATCGAACTCAAAGTGAGCCTAGGGCAGAGTAGAGCTGAGACTTTGGGTCTTTAAAGGAGTAGCACACTGCACCTCCCTCCTATAGAGAGCCTGGTGGGCTCAAACCTTTGGACCTGATGGGTCAGTGCATAGCCCACCATGTCACCAGGCAGGGCTGGCACCTTGAGGAGCCTGGGCTAATAGTGTTATGTGAGAGAAAATTCCAGACCAGGGAGATACTGGGGGTGGGGTGGGGACAAGGGCCCTGGAGTAGGTGAGGATTAAGATGTAGCCAAGGTCAGGTGACCAGATGTCCATCAAACTGAGCAGGTGTACTTTGTCCTGAGGATGGGAGAAGCAATTGAAAGACTTTAAGTGAGCAAGTGCCTAGATTAGATTTGTATGGTAGACGGAGCTAGGCCTTGATTGAGGGCAGCTGAGGTCAAGGAAATGGTCTCCATTTCTGGGCAGGGCTTCTCCCCACTCCTTCAGAATTTCAGTGGCTTTCAAGGTTTGGTTGAGTGAAGTCCTGAGGACTGGTTGAAATGATTCAGCCTGAGAAGCCAAAGTGATTGGGCACGGAGTCATCCATCCATTCATATGTACATTCAGCCAGAGCTGTATGGAAGGAAACCCTTTCTATTAGGGACCCCAAACCAAATGCACTGCCACGGAGTGGAGGCCAATTCATAGTGACTCAACTCACACACAGGACAGGGCAGAGACTAGCTCTTTAAAGGAGTAGAAAGCCTCATCTTTTTCCTGTGGAGTGGCTGGGGGGTTTCAAACTGCCGACCTGTCCTTCACAGCCCAACCCAAACTCACGATACCACCAGGGCTTTCCAGGAAAATGACCTATACAGGTGAGGACCCAGGGTCCTGAAGACTAGAGGGGAAGGGGAAGTTCATGAACAGGTGCTCTTCCGTGCTTTCATTTTAAAAGCAGGCAGAATGGGGAACCTAAAGCCCAGAGGCCCAAACGCAGCTCGCAGATCTTTATGGGGCACCTACCACCAAGTCAGCGGTTCAAACACCGCAGGCTCCGAGAAGGAGAAGGATGTCTATTACCACAGTTATGCTCAGTCTCCGACTGCCTAGGGAGGATCGCCCTGAATTGGCAGGGGGGTTTACCTCTGCCAATCTCTGTTCTCAGCAGATCAGCGGAGCACAAGTGAAGATCTCTAATCTGGTGATGCTTATATTCTAGGCGTGGGCCGAGAAACGAATTGCACAAGGTACACGGGGCATAATTCGCTTGGCTCCAAGGACGTCTGGTAGGGATTTGAGGAGATCGGAGGTGGCTGGAGCCCTGTGGCTTGGCACAAGGGCACGGGAACCTTTTCCAGGTTTCTCGGAGTTCTCGTTGGGTCTTTGCTTCGGGCATGGGGATGACAAATGGTCTTACAGTTAAGGCACCTGAGGGTCTGGAAGCTACCTGCTAACAGGTGCTAGGACCCGACCAGCGTGCTCTTAATTTAAAGCCAGCGCCCGCCTTAAAGCCAGGGCCCGCCTTTCCTCTTCCCCGCGGAGCAGACGCAGCTCTGCGGAAGCCGGCTCCGCCCCAAACTCGGGGAGGGCCTGGGCCGGTAAGAGCCGGAGCCCGCCCGTCGCGCGCCGCTCGGCAGGGCCTGCCCAGGCGGGAGCGAGGCCGGGCTGCTCCCCGGCCCCCACTCGCCAGCCAGTGGTTCGCTCCGCACACCCCTGCCTGCGCGGGCAGTGCCGCGGCCCGCCCCACTTCCGGTTCCCGAGGGCTCTACTTCCGGTGTCCGCCGCCCTCCGCTCCGCCGCCGCTCGTCCGCGATGCTGTCCCGGTCCCGCTGCGTGTCTCGAGCGCTCAGCCGTTCGCTCGCCGCCTTCCAGAAGGTACGGCCCAGCCGGCCCCGGTCCCGCAGGGCTGCCGCGGGCGGGCGGGCGGGCGGCCTGGGGACGGGCGCGGTGCCACGACCGGCCAGGCCGGGCGCCAAGGGCACCAGGACGCGGAGGCCGCGGGCTGGACTGCCGGGCCCCCCGTCGCCCTCGTGACCGCCTGGCGGTGCCTGTGAAGCTCGGCGCCCCTCGCCCTCGAGGCGGCCCACGCTGCACCCCACTCGCCGTGGCGGGCGCGGGGACCACCCGAGGCCGCGCCCGTCCCAAACCGAGACTCCGAGTTCCGGCCGAAGCGCGGCGAGCGCCCCTCCACCCCCGCACCGGGGACCCGGGACCCAGGACCCGGCCCGAGTCAAGCGGTGTCCGCCGTGCTGGGAAGTGGAGACGGCTTGGCAGGCCCAGGGTGCTGTCCGACCGCGAGCGAGCCCTGCGTGTTGGCATTCACCTGTCACCAGCTCTGGGGCAGCTTTAGGGAAGAGGCTGGAGGCTTGGTGACGCAGTGGTCAAGCGCTTGACGGCTAACCCCAAGGTCAACGAACCTTGGAACCTACCAGCTGCTCCGCAGTACGATGATAGGGCCTCCGCGCCTTCCCTGAGGAGTCAGCGGTGGACACCCCGTTCGGCAGTTCTACTCTGCCTGTAGGTTCACTGGGAATTGAGATCCACTCGATGGCTGTGTTGCCCCCCCCCCCCCACTCCCACTTTCTTCTTGGGTGACGTCGATAATGTCTTCTTTCTCAACAGGGGAACTGCCCTCTAGGGAGACGTTCTCTGCCTGGTAAGTTCTGCCCTAGTCCCGGCCGTGCCTGAAATGCTTTCCCTCCCGGGCAGAGTGGCGTGCGATGGCGGAGGCGGATGGGTCTGCTATGTCGCTCCCCAACGTTCAAGAGCAGTTCCCTTGAGATAGTAGAACAGGCTGTGTGTGAAGTAGGAAGCCCACTCTCGTGTTGTTTAATCATTGACAGCCGTCCCTTATTCGGTGCTCTGGTTGCCTGTCTTTGTCAGGCACTGTGCAGGGCACTAACCGGGGTGCAGCACCGAACCTCCTTGCCCTCATGGAGTGGAGTCAAGGGAGAAAGCCCAAGCTTAAACGCGCAAAGTAGGCACGTTCTGGGAAGTACTGAGAAGGCCTCTCTGAGTAGGTGACATTAAAGTTGTGACCTGGAGGATAGGACAAAGCCCGAAGGGGAAAGGAGGGAGCCGCTGGCGTGTATAACATCTCTGGGGGAGGGAAAGATCCGAACTGGGAAAAACGTGGTCAGCTGGAGCATTTGAGCTACAGGGGAAAGTGGCATGAGGTAGCGAGTGCATGGGGGAGAGGCTTTGGGAAGGGGTTTCCATTTAACCCCACTCATCTTCTGGGGAATCCTCGATGATGTGTTTCATAAGGCTTATTTTGTGGCATACATCCGTGTGGAATGAGTGACACTTCCTGTGTGAGTGTGTGTGTCAGGCATTCCTGTGCAGGTTTTTAAGACCCCCATCCTGAAACAGTAAGCATGGTTAGCTCTGATTTACAGATGAGTACCTTGAGACCCAGAGAGGTTACCTCCCTTGTCCAAGGTCACTCAGCCAACATCATGCCTGGTCCCAAAGCCTGAGCTTCTAGCCATCACAGTATCATTTCCATGTGAGGTCTGCAGGTGACTTATTGAGTAGTTTTGATATGGCTAACGAGCCCTGGCAGCACAGTGGTTACTCATTAGGCTGTTAACCACAAGGTCAGTGGTTTGACCCCACCAGCTGCTCTGAGGGAGAAAGATGAGGTTTTCTACTCCGAGTTACTGTCTCAGAAACCCACTGGGGCAGTTTGACCCTGCCCTATGGGGTCCCTATGAGTCAGAATTGACTCGCTAGCCGTGAGTTTGATTTGAGATTTTCTACATGGCTAAGTGACGGGGACACAGATGGCCCCTGCCTGCGTGGATCTTAGGAGCTTGTTGGAAAGACCGTCTGATTTGGATTTACCCACACATAAAGACTGATCACCACGGCAGAAAAGAAGTACAGGCAAGAGGATGGATGATGTAGCCCAGTGGGGTGGGGGCAAGGTGGGAACGGCAGTAAAGGCTTCCTCGGAAAAGTGACATTTCAGCTGGGGTGCAGAATCAATAGTGATCCAAGCAAGCTTGTGCAGGCAGGAAGGGGCTTGACTGGCCATAGAAATAGAAAGGGAGCCTCTCTGGCTGGAAAGATAAGCAGGGCTGGACGGGGCAAGGTCACGTACAGTTTTGGACTTTATCTGAGGCGTCGTCAGAGCATAAGACCTAATGCAGTATCTGCCCAGAGTGGGCTTTTGGTAACTTAGCACCCTTTTCAGTGGGGACTCCTGCAGAGAGCACTATTTCAGAGACCAGCAGAAGCAGCCTGGAAGTTGGGGTTTGCACCCCGGCTCAGGGTTTTGCTTTGGGCCCAGCTGCCAGTGCCCTATTTACCTAGGAGATGGGTGTGATGGCAGATGGTCATGCCGCTGCAGAGAGGTTTGGAGACTGGAAAAGCCAAATGAGGTCATTAAGGGAAAGCATTTTCTAAACCTTACAGCACTGGACAAATGACACTTGCTGTGGGATGTGCTTGGTATGCACCGCAGGCCTCCCCAAGTCCGTCTGGGTTGCTGGCTGTTTGCCGAGCTTCCCCCCTCAGAGCCACGCTGCGGCTCAGCAGTGACTGGACTCAAGCTGCTGGCAGTTAGGGACAAGGTGGACATAAAAGAGCTGTCTCCTTTCTGATGCCTCTTGAGTTAAGGTCTAAGAGTGTGTGGAGAAAAGCAGATCCCTTACTAAGGACAGGTAAGAGGCGGGAAGAGGTGTTGACTAGTTGAAAGAAGGTACGTGGAAGACCTCAGGAAGATCACAGCAAGACGCAGATTAGCTGAAATGTAGTCCCAGCACACACTGCCGCGCGGCTCTCTCATGCTGGTGATAGTTGAAGAGTGGGGAAGCATATAGAGATCAAGCAAAGTTCATGAACTTTTAAGCTAAGCAAGATGATAAAACTGATTTGGATGTTGGCCTCATCCCATCCCTCCCTGCCCCCCCAAGCCCCACTTACCTGCTGCCGTCTGCCCTGGAGGCGGCTGCAGTGGGAAGGTTTGCAGAACAGGCCCCCACGTCATCCCGATTGCATGGTTGGCTGCCGTGACTGCTCCCTTACACCCCGTTTCCATACCCATTCCCAGCAGGTCCCTTTCATGAGGTGAGGTTGGGGGTTAAGAGTTTTGTTCTATTTTTTTGCAGGGGTCTCCTTATGTCAGGGAGCAGGTTACCCTGACAGCAGGAAGATTGTGTAAGTACCGCTTGACAAGCACCGACATGTGCCTGAGGTTTTTTATTAAGATACCAAATTTGGCCATTGGATTTCTTCCCTGGCTTCTTGGCCTAGAAATCAAGATAGTAGGTGGACAGGCCTGATACAGACCCTCCCTTTTTATGCTTCATGTCCCTTGAGCATCAGTCCCAGGTCAGGTGCTGAACCAGGAGTGGGCCGCCTCCCGAAGGTGTATAGGTGATAATGGAGACTGAACTGGACCCCGCCTTCATGGGAGTGGATAGAACATATGAGCTGCACACGGTGCCCCTGGAGCGGTGGAGGGCGCCGTCATCGTGGAAACTGAGAGCATCCTGCTGGCATCATTAGTTCCTCCTTCTAGAGGGAGTTGAGCCCTGAGACTTTGGCTGGTGGGTGGGCAGACTGTTGCCTAATGCACAGTCCAGAGCAGGGCACCACCCACGTGTGTTTCTGATTAACTTCTCAGGATTTCCCGGGAAGTTCATCAGAGAGGAGCCCTGGTGGCATTGTGGTCACGCATTGGGCTGCTAACCACGAGGGCAGCCGCTCCACAGGAGGAAGAGGGGCTTTCGACTCCCATAAAGAGTTACCGCCTCAGACACTCCTTGGGGCTGTTCTCCCTGTCCTGTAAGGCTGCTTGAGTGGGAACTGACTCCCTAGTAGAGAGTTTGGTTTGCGTTGGTAAGATGTGCTATCGCTACCAAGCCAGCAACCTTCTCTCTAGCGAGAGTCGCACCTTCCTCGCTGTGCACCATCATGGGATTTTTAGTTAATTAAGAGAAGTATATACTGAGTACTAGATATATAATGGGCTGTGTTATTTTTGGAGGATAGTTTGGCATTTAGACGTGTTCTCTCTGATGATTCTGTTTCTAGGAATCTACCAAAGAATTCCTCTTACACATAGATTTTGGTAAAAATGGCCCTACCACCGGGAGTAGGGTAGCGTCTGCCATGTTTACCTGTCCACGGGGAAAGGCCGGTGACAGGAGCGCTCCATTGTCCAGCCTAGTCACCATGGTCTCCAGCCAAATCCGAATAGTCTACAGCAGGGGTCCTTAAACTGCAGCCCGAGAGCCACGTGTGGCCCACGGAGGACATTTAATCCTGCCCGCCAGGTGTTTTTGCCCCGTTTTGTTTTTTGCTTCCAAATAAAATATGTGCAGTGTGCATAGGAATTTGTTCATAGTTTTTTTTAAACTATAGTCCGGCCCTCGAACAGATCTGAGGGACAGTGAACTGGCCCCCTACTTAAAAAGTTTGAGGACCCGTGGTCTACAGTAAGCACCTCATGTGTTTATCATGTGAAAAATACCTAGAGAGTCAGCGTGCTACTGGTCTGCGGTTCAAATGGAAATGGGGGAAAGCACAAATCTCTGTAATGAACAAGATCAAATAACTGGAAGTAAGTTACTGAAATAGCTCAACTTCAAGGGAGGGAAAATCACTGCTAGTATCGCCCTCATCAAATGTCTGCTTTTGTGTGTGGTGGTTTTTTTTTTCCTAGCAAGATAACCCCTTTATTTTTAAAATCTTTATTGTAAACCTTTTAGCTACATGTTTGTATTGAATAAGTTAGGTGGTGATACACTTACTTGATTCAAAAGGTAACAGGTCTTGGGAAATGCTTTTTCTCCTTGCCCTTCAGCACCACCACACTCCTCTCCCCAGAGGTCACTGGTGCCCCCGTGCTGGCTGCCCCGTGCCCGGTCGTTCTGCTGTGGGCATGGTGCAGCCTGTGATCTGCATGTTTGAGAGCACATTTGTCTGCATAGACCAAGGACCTCATGGTTAGCTTGACACATTATCAGAGTAAAACGAGCACCGGGCAACTGAAGTCTGCAGTGCGTTTGGGATTATAAAAGGTGATTGATGCTTGTTGTAGAATATTCCAGCAACCCTGAGATGTCCACATCGCCCCTAGAGGTAACAGTGTCCATGGCCTGTATGTTTAAATGCCGTTGCTGAAACTACCCCCAGTGTGGCTGCCTTCTAGCAAGAGAGCAAGCTGGGCGATGTGTGTTTTTCTCCAGATAGTGTGCTGTATCTGCTCTAAATCCGTAATTGGGAGAACAGAAATCCCGGCGCACGTGCTGCGGAATGGCAGCGTGCACCCCAAGGGCAGGCAGTGTATCTTTCTTGGACAAGCTAGTTAGGATAGAAGCCCAGCTGGGAAGCACAGGACCAGGCTGCTTCATTTTTGTCCAAGAGCCAAGTGGTAGGTCTCTGTTGTGAGAGCTAGAGTCTCTGGGCAGTGCTGCTGCCTGGCCTTATGGACAGAGCGCACTGGTTAAGGCACCCAGTCACCCAAGTGCCACTCTAGGCCTGCTGAGTCAGACCTTGAGGTCAGGCCTGAGAGGTTCCCCCAGGTGACACTGATGGGCACCCCTAATGAGGTATCCCTGGTGTAAAGAAAAGGCAGCCCCCGCATCTAGAGCCAAAGGGGAGTGGTTCGCCTGCCAAGGAGCCGACTGACCCTCTGTTTTCTGTCTGGTGTAGCTTTCCCAGCAGTGATGGCTTCAGTGTCCGCTTCTTCAGAACCACAGCTGCGTGCCGTGAGTATCTGCAGCCCACTCCCTGCCGCCTTGGGAATGCACACTTGCAGTGGGAAGAGCGACACCTGGCCGAGCTTATTTAAAGCAGAAGCTAAGAAGGAAGAACGTGGGCTACTTGGGGATTTTCTCTTGTGCTCTGTCCTAGGGGATGGCGTGATCACAGTGAAGACTCCCGCATTTGCAGAGTCTGTCACAGAGGGGGATGTCAGGTGGGAGAAAGGTACGACTTGGTGACTTCTCTCTCCCTTGGGTCTAAACATTTTCTCAAGGGTTTCTGCCCGATTTCCGACACGGCACTTTCTCCAGACCTGGAGGAAAAGGGTCTTGTGACACCTGCCGGGAAGGGCTGTAGTGGCTGCTGCTGGCTCCGCACTAACAGGACGTCTTGGCCTCTTTTCAGCTGTTGGAGACGCCGTGGCGGAAGATGAAGTGGTTTGTGAGATTGAAACTGACAAGGTAGGCTTGTCCGAGCTTGGTGACAAGTTGGTAGTTTCAGTTTTACTCTTTCTAACTAATTTACGTGCGCTGTTTTCAGTCACTTTTCCTCTGTCTGGAAAGCACGTTGGGGTGGATGTTGCACGATGTTTCTAAGCAGTCAGACAAAGGGTGGGGCCTTCACCACAACGCTAACTTGGCGCTGCTCTTCTCTGGTGTGTGTCCCCGGTGTCTTAGCGTCTCTGCGGCAACTCTTGGGACGAGTGTGTGATTGCCGGCTCGCTTCTCCACTGCCCATGAAGGTGTGAACTCCTCCGTCTGTCTTCCTCTTACAGACTTCTGTGCAAGTCCCGTCTCCAGCGCATGGCGTGATCGAGGCTCTCTTGGTACCGGATGGGGGCAAAGTAGAAGGAGGCACTCCACTTTTCACGCTGAGGAAAACTGGTGGTAAAGATATTCTCCTGGTCATCCAGGGTTCCCCACCCCCACCCCCGGGGCTCCAGGATGAGCCTCCTGTGCTGACTGCCTGCAGCCTCTCAGCCCAGGGCTTGGAGCCAGCGCTGCTGGGGTTGGCCCCCCGCTGCGCAGTCAGCTCTCTGCCTCATGCACACACGGGGAATCCCAATCGCCAATCAGAAACCCTTTGGCTTTCACTGCCCTCAGTTGAGGAACCAGGAGAGGCAGCCGCGTTTAGATAGCATCCACTTTCAGTGTCAGTTCTAGAAGAAGGGATACTAAAAACACCAAACACAACTCTGAATACGATCGCTTTTTCCGTGCATATTTGTCAGCTGGCATCTTCTGAAAGGTGGACTAGAAATGACAGATGCAGAAGACAGTCATCCCTTCACCCCTTCCCAACCATGGGGGAATGTGTTAAGCACACAAATGCCTCGGACCCCGGGGAGCAGAGCTCTAGCCTGATCTTGATCTTGATTGCCTGCAGCGTGTGTTGGTTTTTTCACCAATGTTCCCCCAAGTGAATCTCATACATAGGGTTGAGAGCCACTGTTTAAAGATAGAAGCAGTAGTACTTCTGCAGAGGTTATGGTTTCAACGCACCAGCTGCTCCTTGGGAGAAAGATGAGGCTGTTGTAAAGATGGACAGCCTTTGAAGCTGTGGGCAGTTCTGCCGCCATGGGGTGAAACTGCCAGCAGTGGGTTTTGTGTTATGGAGAACTCAGTGCAGTTTCTTTTCAGATATGTTGGTGTTTGAGAGAAAATGGGAAAGCAGGGCAGTCACTGGTACTGGACCTCCCCAAATTAAGGGCTCGCTGATGCCGAAGTGTCCCAAGCATACTACATTATCAGTTGCCTGTTTAGTTGGCATTACATTTCCTTGTGCTTCTTAGGTGCGGTAAAAATGCTTGCCGGATTTCATCAGTAGATAGCTGTAAAGTTGGGTGTGTAGGAGTGCTGGGGAATCGAAGCACAGCGCTTGCCGTCACTGTGTGTGTGTGTCTGTCTGTCTGTCTCCCACCCCCCCACCCCCGGCCTTACATACAGCAGATACCTTGTAGACACTTGTCAGTTGGCGCTTTTTTCTGCTAAATTTTGTTGAACATCTGCAAGTAGGTCGCTTCCCATCCAGGCAGTACCACTGGGTGGCATCCTTTTTTTTCTGGTTTTCCAGCTGCTCCCGCAAAGGCTAAGCCAGCTGAGGCTCCTGCTGCTGCCGCCCCAAAAGCAGAGCCGGTGGCATCAGCCCTTCCTCCTCCCGCTGCACCACCCCTCCCCACGCAGATGCCCCCGGTGCCCTCGGCCGCACAGCCTCCTGTGAGCAAACCGGGTAAGTGCTGACTCCCACTACCGAGCCTCACGGGGGAGGAGATCACCTCTGCTGGTGTCGTGCTCCCTCCTCGGGGAGCGGCCGAGGCGGATCATGCTCCAAACGGGCCTCGGCAGCGAGCACCCAGACTTGATCTGAAAGCCCGGGGCTTAGCCCCGCTTTCTGCTGACCAGCTGCGGATGGCAACTTTGTGTGTGGTTTTCACAGTGGTGTTTCTGCTCTCAGGCAGCCGTACCGCCCCCCTTTTCTTCCAGTCTCTGCAGTCAGACCCTCTGCTGCTCCCCCTGGAGCTGAGCTAGGCGTTGGCAAAGGTCTGCGTTCAGAGCACCGGGTAAGCCACTGAGGACCGACCACCGTGAGGCGAGAGGTGGGGGCTTTGGGGGCCTGAGAGGACTTCAGGCGTGGTGGGGCTTGCCTTTGAATGGCCAGCCTCCCTGCAATGCCTGACCTTGGCCTTGACAACTTGCTCTGGGGAATGTGGGTTGGATTGAATACGATCCGAATTCAAAAGTTGCTCCACTGGTATCAAGATGAACTGTGGCCTTGGGGGAACTCTAAAATTCAGAGACCAGGGTTTTAGGAATTAGGGCTTACTTTCTAAGGAACATGGAATCATGTTTGGAGGAGGAAGTGATACAGTTGAATTCATTTTATGTAAATAAGAGTGGGTTTTCATGTCTAAGCTCTCGGCTTCCAAGAGGACAGACAGAAGCTATGACTCTTGGGTTCTGTAGGAAGATGTGGAGGTAAGTTAGGTAAACTTCGAACAGGACCTTTGCCACCTCGCCCGGGAGTGTCTTTTGGCAGCCTGTACTGAGTGTGGCTCTGAGGGCCGACTTGTGTGACGGTGTCGGACACAGTGACCCTCAGTAACGTGCTTCAGGCTCGATGGTTCTGGTTTGAGGTGCACAGCGAGCATTTCCTGTCTGGAAAATGAGGTAACTCATTCAGTCCCGTAACTGTTAAATGGCCGTCAGGGCTAGGGGCTGGGGTTTTCTGACCCTGGTCCAGTGGGTTTCCCACTGTAAGTGCCTAGCGTGAGTCAAGGGTCTGCAGGAGACAAATGCGAGTAGCCTTCCCGTTTCAAAGGTGGTTTGTCGAGCTCTGTTCCCATGCTTCTGGGATGCGTAGCGCAGGGCTGCGTGGTGGTAGGACCTGTCAGGGCCAGACAAAAACCTCGAGGAAGGGTGGTCAGGAGTGGGTTCCCCACCCAGAAATGCTTGAGTTTCCTTGGCGTGTGTGTCCACAGTCGCTATTCCCATGCGAGCTGCTTTCCAGCCCCA